TATGGTATGTGATATTATAAAGTTTGTTATAAACATAGAAAATAATGCAGACCCAATATAGCAAAACACCAGATTGATTAAATGTAAATAAAAATATGGAAATATTAGATGTATGTCCAAAGTTACAATACTAGTGTCATTATGTAGTGTTAATTCTAAAACTGATATCTTTTTAATTTAAATCAACAGAATTAAAATGGCTGATAACTAATGTAAAGAGAACATCCACCAGTCTTAAAAAACCGTCCACAAAAAGATAAAAAATGAGGTATTTTTTTCTTATATATTATTAAAATTATAATTAATATACAATTATATATTGTATATTATCAAAATCATATACAATATATAATTTACACATAGTTCCTGCACAAGGCAGTCAGCAAGTGAGGTCTACCCTGATGAAGACCGACAGTCCCTAAATACGATAAATATGATAGATAGAAAAATAAGTAAGTAAGTAAGTAAGTAAGTAAGTAAGTAAGTAAGTAAGTAAGTAAATAAATAAATAAATAAATAAATAAATAAATAAATAATACTTGTATTTCTTGTTGCTTGGTTATTTTACTGTAAACAATTGATCCTAAAAAGCAGAAGCTTTCCACTCCTTCAATATATTCCTTGTTGAAAATAAGGCTGGGTGTTGTACCTGTTGTTATTGCCCTTCATTAATTTTAATTAATTAATTTAATTAATTTCAATCCATCTTTTCATTATGTTGCTTGATGTTCATTATTGTATCTTGCAGATTATTTTTGGCTATCAAAGTAATGAAATCAGGATAATGGAGATTATTGTTATTTTCCTTAGATGCTCCATTAGTTTGCTAATTTGACACAACAAAAAGATCTATAATCAACAAAGCAATTACTGAATACTGATTTCTTGTTGTTCTTTAGTTTGCATACATCAGCAATAATGTCTGTGTTCCATAGCCACACTAAAACCAGCTCAATCTAACATTTCCTCTCCCTGCATGGTTTTAGTCTGCCTTGGATGATCTTAAGCCTTATTTTGCTAGCATGTGAAATTAAGGATATTACACAATAATTTGTATACTCTGTAAAGTCTTCCTTTCTTTGGTGTTGGTGTATAAACCTTTTTCAATTGAAGTTGAACCCTAACTGAGTTGTTGCCCAGTTTTACAGGCATAGTTTGATTAGAACTGCTATATATTCTTCGGTTGTTTGACATATTTCTATAGATATTCCATTAATTTCTGTAATCTGCTGACTTGGTAATGACTGAAGTATTGGTCTAACTTCATCTTAATATTACAGGTTCTTGTAAGTAAGTAATATCTGTTAAGATTGTTGATATCACCACTATACTGAATTTCAATACACTATTTGCTTCTTTGTTTGATCTTTTTAAAATCAGTGATTTTAGCATACCAGTTTAAGGTTGAAATCTTCTGAATTAGGACATATTTTGGAAGTCTTTTTATTTTTCCCATTCTGGATCCAGTGTCTTTACAAATAGTGTTGTAATATTGTCTCTTACTTTTTTTTAACAGATCTTTGAAATTTTGGGTGACGTTCCTTCCTGAGATCTTTGACTTTCTTGGTTTGGTTCTTTTCATTTCTTGGTAATTTCCAGCATTCGTTTTAACATTCGGATTTCTTTATTTAGTTTCTTGGTCTTTGGCTGTCATTTTTCCACTTTAATCCTCTACATCATAGTTGTCCAACCTTTTGGCTGGGCTGCATGGAGTGGAGTGGAATTGTCTTGGGATGGTTTATTTTTTATATTTTTATTATCTTGGATGCATTACTAATTGTTCAAAACCATATGCATGCAGCCCATGGCCACACCTGCTCTATACCTTCTTTGATTTCAAAAAAGTTTCTTTGATTTCCTATCACCGAGAATCAGGATTTCAATGTGATTCCTGATATTTTCTTGACCCTGGTAGCTACAGGTAATCCTTGATTTACAACAGTAATGGAACCTACCCATTTTGATCATAAGGTGAGAGGATGTTAATTGAAACTAAGTTAAATGGAAGAGCCCCATTCAGGATCACCCCAATACATACATTAAATGAATATAAGGGTGAATATGGGGGTCTTTAAATACGAATGGGGTGCCTCAAGGATGCCTGCCTTGGGCCTCCCAGGACTCCCCACCCCCTGAGATACCCCTGTGCTCTACATCCTTCCTTGGGGTTCCCACAGTCACCCCCACACCTCACAATGCCTTGCTTACCTTATGGAGATCTGCAGAATTCAGAATTGTGGGCCGTTCTTATTGTGCCACGTGGAGCAAGCATTTGCAAACTGATCTCGGCAAAGTAATATTTTTTCCACCTTCTGCCTTTGTGCATGGCCTCTTTAACTCAAAACAGGGTAATGAGCCACAATTTGTGGATTGCAGTTTCTATATTTCCTCATGAAAAAAGTTTTAAAGGGGGAGAATGTTTTAAAAGGAAAGGGGAGAAACAAGAAAAAAAAAATTTCAACTTCAGTCACCTCCAAGCTACCTCTTTGCTATTATAATTTAATTGTTATACCCCCATGTACCAATGATATATAGACAGTCTTTATTACAGTCAATGGTTGACAAATTAAATAGTCAAGTTCTTTTTAAAAAAAATACAGCACAAGAAATGATGCCATAGAAGGAAAAAACATAATGTCTGGGAAAAAAACATTAAGCATCCAACTTTTACTACAATTCAACGGAGGCAAGAATAGACTAGGTAATAAAAACAAAGGACAAATAAATTATTTAAATACTTTAACCATAGGATGCTGAAGTTCTGCATATGAAGAATATCTGTATGAATTTATGTGAATGTAAATGTATGTGAATATAAATAAAATTGTACATCAGCCAGTGACAAATGATATAGAGCAAGAGAAATAAAAACCTAGGCATAGTAAACAGATTTTAAAAGGCATGATGTTCCTGTATTATTGCTGCCCAATAGCAGTGACTGTCACATGTTTTTGCCTTGTATGCTCAGATACTTTTATACAACAAAGTAAATATGAACATGCTTTAAAGCTCTCCTTCAATATTATGTGAGAATGTAGGAAATATGTGATTAACAATACGGTTATGCATTCCAGGGAACTTAGTTTTGTTGTGGTTCGCAGCTGAATGTACTGTACACCTGATGTCAATTTGTTTCTATGAACGAACAGTGAAGATATGATATAGTGCTGAGCTTTTTTGAGGATCATTGTAGTTTCTCACATCTTTTTTCAGGCAAGAGATAATAATAAAAGAATTCAGCTTGATTCTAAGGAAGATTACTGCTTATTTTTTGTGTATGCTGAAGGAAAAACATTTTATCCCTGTTTATAGAATTATGCAGATCATTTCAATAGTTACATTAGTCAGTTTGGTCTAGTGGTTGAGGCACCAGGCTAGAAACCAGGAGGCTGACTTTTAGCTTTGGCCATAAAAGCCATCTGGATGGCGTTGGGCTTGTTACTCTCTCTCAGTCTAACTCATTTAAGGATTGTTGTTGTGGGGAAAATAGAATGAAGAAAATTTTGTTGGTTATATCACTGCCTTAAGTTATTTGTAAAATAACAAACAAATGAATACACAATATACAATTTGTCATAGCAGCCAACATTATTGATATAATTAACATTACTGAGATAATTCTTATGCATATTAAAATACTTAATGAATGATGGATAAATGATTGATCCTGAATAACAGAATCTTCAATATAAATAAAAACTTTTTAGAATTTAGAATTATAACAAGTTATTTTAACATCAACATTATCAAAGGAAACCTGGATTTGAGTGCTTAATGTGAACAGTCTTCTTAGCATTTGTTGACTTCTGTGGCCAGCATGCATTCCTTTACTTTGTTTATGTCTTGTTATTTTAGCAACAGCTTAGAATTCCAGGCACCCATTTGTTTCTAGGTGAATTTGATAGATTGATCATTAGAAAACACATGTAAATCTGGGCCCATGTTTAATTTATTCCAATTTACCCTCACAATGCACTACTATTTTGTGACTGTATGCATGAAATGTTTCATGTAGATTTATTAGTAGTCATCTCTGAGCCAGAACAAACCTAATATGATCACAGCAAGATCATAAGTATTCCAAAGATAGCTGCTTGATATTATGTTCAATAACAAGAACAAGGTCCAAAGGGTTTGTTGATACTGTTTGTTGGTGAAAATTTATATGGTTGCCAATTCACTCTCCGGACAGCACAAGATAAAAACTCAATACAAAAACAATAAAAAAATCAATACTGCCCCTTGGTGATAGTATACAATGCATTAGTCATCTGGAATTGTTGAATAGACTTACTTTTCTTACTGCTTTCTAAAGTGCATGTTAGAAACCATGTGATGAAAAGGAATTACTGAGAAGGAAACCATGATGGATTTTTTCCCTTGTTATGCTAAATTCTAATACTTATTTAAGGTATAAGGTGGCTGAGAATACATATGGATGTTCTAACTTTCTTTGATAATCATCACTCTAGCTGCTTTGGCTTACCCTGCTTTAGTTCTGTCCCAAATGAATACCTTATGAGAGAAACTGCAATGCAATTTATACAGAAAATTAACTGCAGCATTCTCACAATTCAAAAATAATTTCGATACACTTACGGTATAATAGTTCTAAAATACTGAGAAAAGTAGAAAATCAGAAGTGTTCTTAACAAGGAAGGTATTTAGGAAAAGAGAGGACAGGATTGTTTTTGTGTGGGGGAGGAAGTTTTGAATTTATGTGTTCATTGTTAAGGGATTTTCTTGCTTTGTAAGTTTAAAATATACTGTTAAAATACCCATGTTCTAGAAGAATTGCTAGACTGTTGTCTTGTCTTGATCTCTAAGAAAAGATGGGAAAGTGTTGGAAGCTAATGCATTCCTAGATTGGGATCCAATGGCTCATAGTTTGAGTCCTGATAGAAGATTTGGTTTATAATTCTTTTATCTTTGAAAATATTAGTTAGGAACATGGGACTTGAATCTGATTCTTACTTTATTTTTCTCACTTTACATACCAGGACCCCCCTCTGCACCTCGGAGTGCCATCTCAAATGTTAACGAGACTAGTGTCTTTCTGGAATGGATTCCTCCTGCTGATTCTGGTGGAAGGAAAGATGTGTCTTATTATATTGCATGCAAGAAGTGCAACTGGCACTCTGGGCTCTGTGAGGCATGTGGCAGTCATGTCAGGTACCTTCCACATCAAAACAACCTGAAAAACACCTCTGTGATGATGGTAGACCTGCTTTCTCACACAAATTATACCTTTGAAATTGAGGCAGTGAATGGTGTGTCCAGCCAGAATCCAGCAACACGGCACTTTGTTTCAGTCAATGTAACCACAAACCAGGCAGGTAAGTGCAATTTCACACAGATAACTAGGCTCCTGAGAGGGCGTAGGCTATGATTCTTTTCCAGGTTAGAAGGTGCATAAACAGAAAGCCGCTTGAAATAATAATTTGCTTTCAGTAAAGAGCATTTTTTCCTCTCTTCTTCACCTTGGATTAAAGAACATGCATTACTAAATAACATAATAAAAATGTTTCTTCTCATGTTAACGAACCATGCAGGAATTACACAAAATAGATATTAAACATCAAATTCTCATAAAATGTAAAACATTCAATTGTTACTACTTGTAATAGAAAGAATGATGAAATCTACATGTTTTTCCAAGAGCCATTAATATAGCAGCTAATCTCTTTACAACTACTATTTGAAAAGGAAAAATATTAAATATATTTAGTTAAGTTAGTGTACCTCTTCCATAGAATATTACTATCAGTTATTGTCAAAATATAAAGGACACTAGTTTAAAAAGGTTGTCATTTTATTTTTACTGTGGTTATTGTTACAAGAAATGTGTTGTTTCTATACTGTAGATGAAAGTATATATTCTGACAAGCATAAGATCTTTATGTGAAATAAGAAAACAGAAACCAAGCAGAGTGCCCCTAATAGGAAATGTTTACACATGATGTAATAAAAGACCTCTCACAGTCTTGTACAAACTATTAAAACGCATGCTTGCCTTTTCTTTGCACTATAATTTTATATCATTTCAAGTTTCTTAAAATATATTTGAGGAGAAATATAATTGGAAAACAAAGTAGCAGATTTAGCATTTTCAAAACATAGTCATAAAATTGTTTTTCTTGGTTCAATCACATTTGAAAAAATCGGTTTCAAATGAAGAGCATTTTGTTGAATAATATGCCATGAACAGAAGCTGTAGTTAGGAAATAATCATCAGTATCTTTTATTAAAGGTTATAAAAATCTGTAGTTAAATTTCATTCTGTTTTATTGCCAGTATGTTCTTTGAATAAGTGATTGAATTTCAATAGTCAATATAACTACAGAGTAACTATAGAATTTCTTCTTGGTAGGAGATTCATGAGAAACATAAATGATACTTTCAAACCATTCAACAACTATTAAATCATTGATTTTTTTCCCCTTTCAGCTCTTACTCAAATTATCACAAGTAGTATCAGGGGGAGGAAGTGGTTGTCTGTTTAGTTTTGTGTTATCTCTCTCACCATTGCTTTAAAACTTGCTCAAAATTTTATTTTATCAAGGCTTAGCAGTGGCTGAAAGTAAACACAATAAAGAAATAGAATAGTAATGAAAATAAACATAAGTAAATGCCTTGTATTCTCTTTTGTCTAGAATTTTGTACCATTACCCCATGGGGTATATTGTTTTATACCAACCATCTTCAGAAAGATGGAAGGATGGCTAAAGCAAGAATATTAAAAAATAAATCATAGGCAAACAGTCCTAGCTTAAAAATAAAACAAAATGAAATTCATAGGGGCCAGGAGCTTACCTGGTATTTTGCCCAAGGTCTGGGGAAATAGCCAAATTTGCCAAGGTTTCTGGAACAACATTAGGGTAAGAAACATATAATCTCTGAGGAGTGTCATGTCAGAAAAGGCACACTTCCTACATTTTAATAAAAAACATTGTTTTATTTGGGGGACTTCGAGCACATACACTCTGTCAGATCTGCCCCAGTCTGATCCCTTAGGAAAGAAAGGCCCTTGACTCCATTGGGTTGAAGCAAAAGGTTCTTTTACTAAAGAGATGTTGGCTGCAGTAAAATCAATCTAGCTCTGGATTTCATACACTCAAAGATAAAGAAAGGTTTCCCGTCATCCCAACCTTCCCCCTCCCTGAAACCAATCCATCTTCATCCAGTCAGAACTTGCTAAGATGTTCTGAGATATTTTGGAATAATAGGCATTCTTTCTCAAGGTCCCTGGCCTTGGATTCCAGTGCAAACTGCTGCCAAGCTCCTTTGCTCTTCATCACCTACCATTCCCCCTTCCCTATTTCCCATCACATACACACACCGCTTTATTGCCCATTTATCATACCTTCTGCTTTTTAGCCTTTGATGACAGGATGCCTGTGAGGTACCAAACTGCACCTGGCAGATCTGACATTCTGCTCCCCTTGATAGAGACATCAGTCCCACAGAGGAAAAAGAAGAGAGGAGGGAGAGAGAGACACAAAAATTCTCCAATTAACAGACAGTTAAATGAGGCTTATCTTATGTAATGTTCATGGAATTTTTAAAGCAATCTGGAGGCCTTAATGTGTTGGGAACAATGATGAAATCCGAACCGGTTTGCCACCAGTTTACTGGCCGCGCATGCGTGCTGCACGCCAAAAGAAGGCTTGGGAAGGTAAGTAGAGCAGCGAGAGGGGGATCAGCTGTGCTGCGTGATTTAGATTCCCTAGAAAGCAGGATTTTAAATCGCGCGGCACAGCTGATCGTCAGAAATACCAGTTCGGACGAATTGGTAGCTTTTTTTTACTACCGGTTCGTCCGAACCGGTGCGACCTGGTAGCATTTCACCACTGGTTGGGAATCAATCCATACAGTCTCTGAGGAAGTCTTCCCAAGCTGCCAAAGTACTGGTTTTTGCCCAATGTGTACAGGAGTCGAAAAGTTTCTGACTTCAAAATGTTGCTCTCCCTGAATCATAATGGGATCAGGAGGTGGTTGTGATGTCGGGTGCAGGGAAGATGTGATCTCTGCTTTCAGTAAGCTGCAATGAAATACAGAGTGTATGCATCTGAGAGTTTTTGACTCAAGTTCTATAGTCAATGGGTTAATAATCCTTTTTATGGGGAAAGATTCAACATACTTTGATCCCAATTTTTTGGACAGTTGTCTAGATTGTAAGAATTTGATAAATAGATAGATAGACCGACCTTATCTCCCACTTTAAAGTTCCTAGGTTTAGTGTGTTTTTTATTGGCTTGTTTCTTATATGCTTCATCCAAATTTTTCCTTATCACAGGCGAGATATTCTGTAGGTGACGCACTCTTTTAGTGATGCAGTCGATTGAGTGGCCTGAGGCAATTCAGGAATAGATACAAAATCCTGGCGCTTGACTAGGTGTAGCGTTTTTGCAAAGCTGAAGTATTCTGACACCTTTGAATCATGGCTATTTTGTAGAAATAGCCATGATTCATCGGCTCTGCAGGACGTGCAATTTAGCCCCCTCCCCCCAACTAAACCATCTTGCATTGTACATTCATCCTTGTGTCTTTCTCCAAAGCTGCTTTTAGAGTGCCTTTAGAGCCCCATCGTGTACAGGTACAGCTTTATTGCTCATTTATCCTAACCCACCCCTCCCCCAGCCTTTATTGGCAGAATGCTTGTGAGACACCATACTGCACCTGGCAGACCTGTCATTGATTGATCTTACTGCACATTCGGGAAAAATAGAAGATAGTTGATCCTTCAAGGAACCAGGCCCTATCTGATGATAGGCACTAAAAATGATGACCAGCACCTTGAATTGCATCTGGAAGCTCACCAATGTAAAGTGCAACCAATGCCATTTGAAGAGCAGCAATATTATATGGGCATCTATCTTTTTTGAATATAATATTACATATTACCAGAGTTCTCTATTATAAAATGCTGGAATTCAAAACTGCTTTGTTTATAATGTTTACTATAATCTGAAAGTACCTATTCAAACTACCTTTCTGGAAAAACATTTCCCCCTGTTAATGGTCTAGGAAATGATCCAGCTTTGTTCTGTTCTTTGTCAAAGGACTAAGACTGAAAAAAAACCCCAAAACCCTGCATCATATTGTAATGCTTGAAGAACTTTGAAACAGGGAATGGTTTGAAAATGTTAGTAAGATGACATATTACTTGTGTCAAAATGTAAACAGTACTTTGTTTGTATTATATTAAATCTTTTCCATTAATAGATTTATATACTACCTTTCTAAGCAAGTTCTTTCTGGAATTCATGGGTAGCATTTATCCTCAGTCATAACTACATTCAATTGAAATTAATGGGACTTCAGTTATGCATCAAGATTAATTACCTCATTGATTTCAGTGGCTTCTTGTTAATAATTTAGTTGGACAGCTGTTTCTAAAAAACACTAACAATTTTGAAATACAAATACAGGTAGTCTCTGACTTAAAATAATTCATTTAGAACTATTTTACCACTTAAATTTAAAATGGCACTGAAAAAGTGAATTATGACCGTTTTTCAGATTTAGATCATTGCAGCATCCCCATAGTCACATAATCAAAATTCAGACGCTTGGCAACAAGCAGGTATTTATGATGGTTACAGTGTCTCAGGGTCATGTGATCACTTTTTACAACCTTCTGACAAGCAAAGTCAATGGGGAAAGCCAGATTCACTTAACAACAGTGTTAATAACAATTGCAGTGATTCACTAAACAATTGTGGCAAGAAAGTTTGTAAAATGGGGCAAAATTCATATAGGAAGCACACAGTAATAGTAATGGGGGACATTAACTGGGAAACAAACTCTGCACCTAGTGGAAAATCAAACAGATTCCTCACAAACCTGGCAAATAATTTTGTCTCCCAAAAGGAAAAGGAACCAGAAGGTCAACCATAGAAGGCATTAAAGTAACAGAAATCTTGGTGAGGGGAGAGGAGTGATCATGCAATATTGGAATTCAAGATTTTGCAAGCTCAAGCAATACAACAAAATCAAACTAGAGTTTTGGACTTTAAGAGAGCTGATTTCAATAAACTTAGAGCTTGAGAAGGATTCCATGGATGAGAATCCTTGTGGAGAAACCACCCAGGAAACTTGGGAAACTTTGAAAACAGATTATAAAACCCCAACTTAGCACAATTCTAATGAAGAACAAAAATAAGAGATCTCAAGAAACCAGCATGGCTGCACAAAGAATTCCCTGATAAACTGAAAGACAAACAGGACAAGTATAAAAAGTGAAAAGAAGGGAGAATATCAGCAAATACCTCAAACCTGCAAAGATGAAGTCAGGAAAGCTAAGGCTCAAAATGAATTAAGGCTTCCAACAAAA